TTTTTTTTTTTTTTTATTTTAATTTTAAATTTTTTTTATTGTAAAAATTTTTAAGTTAATTGGTTTCTTGAGTTTACGAATTATTATTTTTTAATTACTTTTGTAATTAATTTTAAAAACAGATTTTTCATGAAACATGAATGTGAGATTGGAATCGCACAACTAAGCATGTCCAAAGAGACCTGTTTCTTTAATTTTTTTTTTCTTTTATTTGTTTTTAATTTTAATTTTTTTTTATTTTAATTTTTTTTGTTAGTTTTTCTGTTTTTGATTTTAATTTTCTTCAAATTTGTTTATTTTTAGTTTAAACTAAGCATGTCCAAAGGGACATGTTTTTTGTTTTTTGTTTTAATTTTATTTTTATTTTTAGTTTTAATTTTATTTTTATTTTTAGTTTTAATTTTATTTTGAAATTTAAAATTTATTTTATTTTTAATTTTAAATCAATTTTTGTGTTTTAATTTTAATTTTAATTTTTTTATTTTAATTTTAAGTTTTTATTTTTTTATTTTACAATTTTTTAAGTTAATTGGGTTTTTGGGTTTACGAATTATTATTTTTTTTTTTAATTTCTTTTGTAATTTATTTTCAAAAAATATTTTTCTCATGCAAATTTTCAAAAATTGCTTGCATTCTAAATCTTGCAATAGTATTATGGAGTCACTCCCCCAGCTTGCATTTATTATGTCGTATATTTCAACCGTTCCCCACTTGCCTTAGCCTGTGGCCCGCCTGCCGCACGCTCTCCACGCCAACTGGCGCTTGTTGCAACAAGCAAAAATTTGTTGCAACTATTGCACTGCAATAACTAAGTGGAAGTGACTGGCTTTGGCGCAGATTTGCCTTTCAAATTTACTTTTGGCACAGCAACAACAACAACAGTAACAAATCGTGTGGCAACTACTAACTGACTGCATGTATTTTAAGTAGATGCCACAGCTGCTGGCTACTGGCTACTGGCAGCGTCCAACTACTGTCTGCCACAGGCAATTTCTAACATTTTTACATCATGCCACACGCAACAACTAAACAAGCTATAGTGATTTGCATATGCGGCACTAATGAGGCATGCTGCAGCACATAGCAGTTAGCGAGTCCGACTGCCTAGCTTTGCTTATTTGCGCATGCGCGCCTGTAACATGTAGCCGCACACCAATAGCCGTAGGCGCCACAAGCGCGCACTGCCGGCATGCCACGGCTGGTTGGCCGAGACGGTGGGCGACACAAAATCCACAAAATCAAATCAAATGTAGAATTGTTTGTTGCACAAATGCACGAATAATGTGCAGCATGCAAAATTTAGTAGCTGCCATTAGGCGTGTTACAAACGACAACGGCAACAACAACAGCGACAAAAATGCATGAAGCGCGCCTACAAAAGGCCAGACGCGCGGACAGCCAATGAGCCATCAATTTTAATTCGTTCAACTCGGTTGGCTGACTGGTGGGTTGGCTAGCTGACAGTTATGGTGACTACCGTATAGCAACAACAACAACAGCAACTACTATTGCAATAACCGCGTTGCCTTGCCGCCTTCACCTTAAATGGCTAGCAATGCCATGCCATTCGCTTTGTTGTTGTTGCTTTGCTAGTTATATGTTGCTTGTCGTCATTGTTGTTATTGCTGTTGTTCGGGCACAGAAATCATGCAGCCATAAAATGTTGCAACAAATCGGTGCATTTGTAAAATTTGCAAAACTACACAGGCAACAACAACGGGCGCGCGCGCATGTTGCAAATGCGGAAGGCGCTTATGGGTGCGCGCTGCACGGTTAGTGCAAGTTAAGTGATGGGTGCGGGGGTGGTGGTTGGTGTTGTAGTCATGTTTGCGCTTACCAGTGAGCATTGATGCGCGGCGCGCGCTTCGATTATTCGACGAAAAATCGCAAAAATATGCGGGCTGAAGCCGCTGATGTGGTGAAAGCGTCAGCGCTTGAGGTGTGCGTGTGTTTGCGAAAGGGCTTGCATGCGCGCCTAGCGTCAAGCGCGCTCAATGGCGCTGAACTCTATTGGCATATTATTTGCGCTGCTATGTTTGTAGTTGTTGTTGTGCCTTGCGTTTGGATTTAATTGCTGCGCGTACAAGTGAAGCGTGAAGGCGGAAGTGTGTCGGAATTTCTTCAGTTTTTTTATTTTGATTAAAATTCGATAATAATAGTAATAGTAATGTAATTAAAACTGTTCAATATTTTCTTGTCTTAATTTTTGAAAATTGTTAATTTTTGCTAAAAATTTGTATTTTCGTAAAAAAAATATAATTTGCTCTTTTTTCATTAAAAATTGTTACGAAAATTTCATTTTTTTTATAAAA